GTTGATGGATGGTTGGATGATGGTTGGATGATGGATGGATGATGGATGGTTGGTTAATGGATGGTTGATGGTTGGATGATGGATGGTTGATGGATGGCTGGTGGTTGGATGATGGATGGATGATGGATGGTTGGTTAATGGATGGTTGATGGTTGGATGATGGATGGTTGGATGATGGATGGTTGGGTGATGGATGGCTGGTGGTTGGATGATGGTTGGATGATGGATGGATGATGGATGTTGGTTAATTGATGGTTGACGGTTGGATGATGGATGGTTGGATGATGGATGATTGATGGATGGTTGGATGATGGTTGGTTGATGGATGGTTGATGGATGGTTGGATGATGGATGGTTGATTGGATGGTTGGTGGTTGGTTGATGGTTGGATGATGGATGGTTGATTGGATGGTTGGTTGATGGTTGGTTGATGGATGGTTGATGGTTGGATGATGGATGGTTGGTTAATGGATTGTTGATGGTTGGATGATGGATGGTTGATGGTTGGATGATGGATGGTTGATTGGATGGTTGGTGGTTGGATGATGGTTGGTTGATGGTTGGATGATAATGAAGTCTGTCCTGCAGCTGCAGTCAGAATATTTAATCTGTGCTGGATTAATAATCTGTATATTTATTGCTCTGATCAATTTCTGCAGCAGTCTAACTGGTTGGATGTTGGTTGGTTAAAGGATGGTTGGATGATGGTTGGATGATGGTTGGATGATACAGGAAGTTGAACTGGTCGGTGGTGTTCTGTCTAACTAATTATTGTTTGTTGAGTTTTTGTTCACACTGACACAAATCAAACACAGGGAAGTATTTTCTCTCCGTGGTCCACCTGGATTAAAAGCTGCTGASWGTCAGTGGGATTAACGAGCTTCTTKCAAAGACAGATTATGAACYGTTTGTTCTCACCTCAGTCTGTAAATCAAATGTTTGCTGAAGCTCAGAGAAACCAGGAAGAGTGAAGAATCATCTGAGTTAAGACTCAGAGGCAGCCGGCTTTGGAGAAATATTTAAATCCAGAGCTAATTTCCATAATCTGCCTAATATCCTGACAAAACCAGAGCRGATGCTCATCTTCATCTCCTTCAACCTTTTCTCACAGATTAACATAATCCAGCCAGACTGAGACGTGAGCCGACGCTCCAGAGGAGCTAAAAACCTGACGTTCAGCAGTTTGGTTTGTTTTGTCTCTTTCTTCTGTGTGTGTGTGTGTGTGTGTGTGTGTGTGTGTGTGTGTGTGTGTGTGTGTGTGTGTG